TATATATATATACATATACATATACATATACATATACATATACATATACATATACATATGCATATACATATACATATACATATACATATATATTTACATATATATTTACATATATTGTATATGTATACACGTCTTAATAATTAATAAAAGTTAATAATTGCTAATAAATAATATTTACTAAATATAAATAAAAATAAATAAATAAATAAATAAATAAATAAATAAATTGTAAACCCTAAACCCTAAACCCTAAACCCTAAACCCTTACCTGCTGTAATCATATAATTATCTTGAGCAGCAATAGCCGTAACTTTTCCTTTATGGCAAAACATCTCAACAGCCGGCTGTACACAAAACCCTAAACCCTAAACCCTAAACCCTAAACCCTAAACCCTAAACCCTAAACCCTAATTTATGATTAAAACCCTAAATAAACATTCTATAAACACTAATTAATATAATGACAGTATAAAAGGATAAAAGAGAAAAAGAAAAGGATAAACAACAAGAAGATAAACAACAAGAAAATAAACAAGAAGAAGAAAAATAAACAAGAAGTAAATTAAAAAAAAAAAAGATAAAAAAGAAGAAAATACATAAAAATGTACAGAAAAAAAAAACGCAAAAAAAAGTAAATAAAAATAAATAAATAAATAAATAAATAAATAATAAGAACATACCTTAGCTAGATTAGGTGTCCATAAGGAGACAGTCCCCTTATTATGCCCTAAGGAGATAATAGCGTTAGTAGGGTTTTGTGCCATAACATCACAAGGCCCTCTCTTTGTCTTATGACGAGCAACAAGGGTACCAGTAGATATATCATAATAACTGTATAAATAAATAAATAAATAAATAAATAAATAAGTAAATATATAAATAAATATATATATTTATATTTATATTTATCTATTATTTATCTTATTTTTAGCAAAAAAAAACACAAAAAATTAATATCTAGTCACCAAAATACTCAACAAAAATTAAACCCTAAACCCTAAACCCTAAACCCTAAACCCTAAACCCTAAACCCTAAACCCTAAACCCTAGAAATACCTTAGATCACCAAATTCTCCAATGGAGGTCATGAGGAAATGATAAGGTAAAAACTCAAGGCGGTAAGTTAACTGCAACAAATAATACACAATAAATGCATGCATGCATGCATGCATGCATGCAAATATGCTGTATAGCTAGCTATAGCTAGCTACATCTAGCTAGCTAGCTAACTAGCTAGCTAGCTAACTAGCTAGCTAGCTAGCTAGCCAAACAGAGGAGACAGCACTATGTAGCTAGCGAGCAATGCTGTAGCTAGCTGGGTATGGTGTAGCTTATACCTAGCTAGCTATGTTGTAGCTACCTAGCTAGCCATACTATCCATACTATCCAACTATCTAGCTAGCTAGATAGCTAGCTAGCTATATAGCTACCTAGGTGTATAGCTAGCTAGCTAGCTAGCTAGCTAGCTAGGTGTATATAGCTAGCTAGTACTCACCATGAGATCTCTAAGGCAATGAATTTCTATGCCTTGATGATCATAAATATACACATATTTCTTCTGGGCTGCAACACAAACCCTAAACCCTAAACCCTAAACCCTAAACC